GGGAAAACCGACGTTTTTTTCCAGCTGTTTTTTTTTTTTTTTTATTTTTTTTTTTTTATTATAGTTTTTTCCATGATATAAACGTTATTAAAAAAAAAAAAAAAAAAGAACCTCTGGTTATGCCATTTGGCCCAAAACAAGCACCTAGTCATATGCAACGCTATGTCACGGAACACGTTAAGGATTTCATCAACGAAGGCTGGTTATTCAACATCTTGGATGACTTTGTCATTTTTTTTTTTTTCAATAGTGTATGTATGGAAAGGATTACTATACAAATGTAACTAATAGTGTGTTTGCGCAGACCCGAATTCTCGTGTAAATGTTTGTGTAAAAAATGCGAAGTCATTCCACACATGAATTTGTTTGTAATTTATTCTTGTAGACCCCATCTACACAAAGTTAAATTGAACAAATTGAAGGACGACGAGAGAAGCGCTGAAGTACGCTATTTCATCAATTTTGATATCATAATATATCAGAGAACTACTTTCTCGCCATCAGTCTCTCCAAATGACCAGAAAAACGTACGTTTCTTCCTCGCCTCAGTTTTCTTTGCTAAAAAACGCGGTCTAACATGCTTACTTTCAGTAAAGATAAAGCTGCTTCTAGCAAAAAGCCCCCTAGAACTCAGTCCGGAAGCTCATCGTCGGCTCCTGCTCCTAAACCTAGGTGACTTTCGCAAAATTGTTTTTGTTGGTGATTGATTCTGACAAGCGAAAGATAGATCGGCTAGAACCAGAGTTCCAACCTCAGTTCCTGAAGACGGAAATGACTTTGATTTCTTTGATCAGTCTGGGTAAGGCCGACATCGCTTCAGAACGATACAAAGTCTTACCAAATTGCAATTTGGGCTAGAAGTGCTGCAGCCAAACCACCAAAACAGCTAGGATATGGTGGCTACGGTGGTTTTCCTCATGCAAAGGTCAAAAACGTGGTGCCGTTGGCTGTGATTACTAAAGAAAGGTCGGTTGATGAGGAAGAGGAGGATGCCGATGACGAGTTCTTTGATCCCCAGGGCGCTGATGGAGACCGCGTCGAAGCGGAAGAAGTGGAAAGCTCGGACATAGCTGAAAATGATGACGAACTTGCCGTGTTGGATCGTGATGTTGCGCCAAACGTAGTCAAGAAGGAGATTTCATCACCAAACCAATTCCGATGGAACGAGAGTCGCGAGCTAGTTTTCATGGGTGCCTACTGTGAAACAGATGTCAAGGGCTTTGTTCATGGTGCATCCAGTCGGACTTGGGATGGCATTGCGGCAAAAGTAAGATATCATTCACATGCATTTCACCATTTCTAACTGTACTCTCCTCAACTTTCAAAAGCTTAAATCCGAGGTAGAAAGATCTGAAGAGAGAAAAGTTCATCTCGTTGTGGAAGGAACGCTGAAGAAAAAGCTTGCACAACTTCTGAAGGAAGCAGAACAGCTTCCAACTCAAGAGAAGAAGCAAACCGGCGAGGGGGTGATTGATAATGATGACGATATTCAGCACGAGAGGAAGAGGCTCTTATATTCAATCCTTGAGCATGTGAGTACAGATGCCAAATCCATCAAACCTTTTTCTCACATCCTTACCCATACAGTCGAGACTTATCATGATGATGAAGGAATCTGGTAAGAAGAGTCATAACGTGAAGAGGGAAGACAGCGTGGGTGAGGAATTGCGTAGACGTGCCACTATGGGCTTGGGCAAGAGATCTCACTCAGGGGATTCAACACCTGAGGACTCTGGTAGCGACGCCAAGGCAAGAAATTAATTGATAGCGTCGCCATGTCATACGAGGGCTGACCGGTACTTTTCTTAGACTCCCAAGCACTCCACTGCCGGGCGCAAGAGTGATCTTGCAATGTTCACAAACACCTACGAGACAACTCAACTTGCTAATTTAGAATTCAAGAGAACACAGGCGGAGGCTCAAATGAAGATGGCAGAGGTCGCTCAAATGCGCGAAGAGAATGAGCGTATGCGTCTTGAACTTCAGGCCAAAAGTTTGGATCTTCAGGCCAAACGTGATGAGCAGTATGCTCAACTCCTTCTAAAACTCGCCAACAAATAATCACAATAGTTGACAGACTTTCTATTAAAGTTCTTGCTATGAACAAATACAGTTATTTTATTGCTATACACCAAAATATTGTTAAGCCTGAATAAAGCAACATACAGTAAGACAGACAAGATTGATTCTTACCCTACGATACGTTTTACAGTGAAAACAAGTTTCCGCGTCATGTTGAGAAGCCTCATGAGTGAAGTACTGGTTCAAATTGGGGGGATTGATCCCAAAAAACGTGCTTGTTTGATTTCCGTTCAAACACGTCATAGCATTAGTGAGTAACCCACAGACGAGGTAGTACTGCCCCACAGGCTGAAGCAGTAGCTTGAGATTTTTCTCGAAATCCAAGAATGCCCATCGAGAAATGATCATCCCAAACCCCCACTCAACTGCAATTCGAACCGTTGACATCATTTTATTGAATCGGATGTGAGCTGGATCGTGAGGAGCCTTGAAGGGTCGGACGAGGTGATCAGATACCTAGAAAACGCAAGTAAGAATTCAGAGGTACTGGGGTCAATTCCACGAAATACAATACCGGATAAGCTGGATCACCATATAACACAAACTGCCTTCCATCCCCAAACTGCAAGCTCTCCTCCAGTATATCCAATAGACCCGACACGTGTAATACCCATGCGTCGTGATGTTTACCAAGATATGGGCCATCG